AAAAACTTAAAAAATCATTATTTTGGACTTCTATTNTGAATTGCAATCTCTTATTATAATTATTGAACGTATTTAATATTAAAGTTAAAACATCCGCAGGTGCTGTCAGAATAATATCGTCGACATATCTAAAATAAAATGAGAGCTTGAATTTTAATTTTTTCAATATAAACTTCAATATAAATTTATGGGTTTTCCCTTATCTCTTATTATTGCTGATATTGTTATGCAAGACTTGGAGAAGTTTATATTGAAAAAATTAAAATTCAAGCCCTTATTTTATTTTAGATAAACGCTTCTTTAATTGGCAAAATCTACAAAAGTCACGACAATTGCTGTGGCAACGCTGGCAGCGAAAATACTTTGCAAGAGTTGCAAAAAAGAAGCAAGTGAACAACTTTAGGCGCTAATATCGAGCCGAACGCACTTTTATTGCTTATCGAAGATAATGTACCGCTCCTACGATGGCCTTTAGGCAGGGTGGTAGCGACGCATCTCAAAGCAGTCGGTCACGTCTAAGTTGTAACGGTGAGAACGGCGAGAAGATGTTACAAGAGACCAGTAAAGAAGATGGTTCACCTGATTAGAACCGTACTTACTCGCGGTATTATTAGTAGCTATTCGAAGAAGCGGGGTTAGCGCATCTCCGGTTATGTATGGCTTGCGAATTTTGCAATAAACAAATAACTTGTCGGGGATAGCACGGGCGGATTGGTTCAACACTGTCGACACTGGCAACCCTGTCTAATACAAAAAATGTAGTAACAAAGGTTGTCTCAAATCTGAGAATACGACGCAATTTGTCGCTAAGCTGTACACTATAAATTTGATTGCATTTGTCTTCTTTACTTTTCTATGTAAGCCATATAGAAACTTCATTACCATATAGCGGAGTGACCATTTAATATGCGCTTTATCTCAAGAGCACAAATGATATATAGCTTCTATAAAATCAGTTTCTAAAGAATAAACCCCTGTATATAAGAATATTAACTCACGAAACATCTATGTTAGGAAGGATATTCGCGAGCGTTATCAGAGTTTCATCCGCACGTAAATGTAAAAAACTAGAAGGAAACTGAATCTTGGTGAGAGCAACTTTCCATTTTTTCTGCGAATCTGTACGGTGAAGTAATTCCGTAGTAAAACATGATGTGGTGTTTTGCGAGAAGTAAAGAATGCTGCTATTGTTCGGGGAAACTACGATAAAGTGTTCCTTCATTGTCATCATAATCGCCATCATTGTCTCCGTGCGGAAGTGTTGTTGAATTCGAAGCCGGGATCCATGAGTTAAATCTAGACGGATAACCTCGCCAACTGACTAGCAGTTGCCTATTACGTCCCCGTTCTCTGTTTTTTATCACTCGATCAACGATTAAAGTTTCTTTTTGTAAGCGTTTACCAACAGGAGACAGTTCTTGCTCGTAAAAAATTCTGTCTATAACCTCACTTCCTAAATCACTCACAAGGAGACCTTACGGTGATCACCTCACCGATTTTAATAAAAATTTTTTTGTTGATAGACCTTAATATGAACTTTTATTGAGCAAAGCAAGAAAACGCATTACTCAAGCGTTTTTGAGAAAATCAAAGGTAAAAAATTCCGAGCGCCTTATAAGCAAAGTTTGTAAACCATTGTATCAAAGTTAGCGTGGCGCAACTGCTCTTGAAATCGACGATTCTGGACGAGTTTCGATAAGTGAGTTTTTTCTACATAGATTGAAGATTTTACATTCAATAATTACATAAATAAAAAGATAGTAACATAACTATTTATAAATTTTGTCTATTTTTGAGTAAAACTGAACATTTTTTTTCCTCTATCTTGAAAATTTGTTTGCAGGATTGCTGTCTATGAAAAATTACTCAAATTGCAGATCTTTTTTTAAAAATTAGCACAGTTGGATAAAATTAACACATAAAAGACAACTAAATAAAAAATATATTTTATTAATCATAGACTTCAAATAAACCTTCAATTAATAATATTAATAATTAACAAAACAGGCAGTTTGTGTCTTTTATGTTACTTTGTTTATCTAAATTTGCTAAGTTGTAAACAAATTAATTTTTTTATAAACAGCAATTCTACAAAGTTTTAAGATAAAGGAAGAAAGAAAAATGTTTAGTTTTAATCAAAAATAGACAAAATGGTAAAATTTATTAATATTTATGTTAATATTTAAGTATTTATGTAATTATTAAATGTAAAATCTTTATTATAAGTAAAAAAAACTTACCTACTCGAACCATCGATTTTAAAAGCATTAGTCGGACACGCTACTGCTGCACTACGCTGACTTTGATAATTTACCACACCGATTTACCACAATGGTTTACTTTGCTTCTAAGGCGCTCAGAAGTTTTCAACCTCGATTTTCTCGAAAATGCTCAAGTAATGCGTCTTCATGCTTTGCTCAATAAAAGTTCATATTAAGGTCTATCTACAAAAAAAACATTTTTTATTAAAATCAGTGAGGTCATCATTGTACGGTCCCCTTGTCAGTTCGTAAACGCAAGGATTTCACCACCGAAAACACGATGAATTCGAAATATCTTCTCGCTTCTTTTAGCTTCGTATCCCTTCTCAAAGACGGCTTTTACTCTACTGACACGTACGAGATCGCCGACGGAGTTTAGCTGCTTTCGTTTTGACTCAGTGTTGTTAGATGAGACGCTTTTTTTCGCGCATGCGCGACGCATCTAGTTATAATTCCAGCGACTACCGGCCGCCGCCAGTGATGTATGCTGTATATACANTACGTAGTGTTAGGTGCTGCCGGTGCTGGCGCGAAAAATGTGACGGGCTATCAAGTAAGGTTAAATTAAACTGGTAAGTACATTTTAAAAATTTTTAATTTATTTATATTTATATTGTTTATTTATATTGTTGAAGTAACAAAGAAATGCGCGATATAACAAACAAATATAACGCAAAATGGAATCAAATATTTTGAAAGGAGTTATTAAAAAAACGCGTGCAAGATTATTTTATAATTCGTGGTTAAACGAAGATTTATTTAAAGGATGGCTGGCTCCTCATCCTACAGAAAATAAAGCAATTTGTATTTTGCGCAATATTACCATTAGATGCTGTAAATCAGATTTAATACGGCACTCACAGAGGACAGAACATATTAAAAACTATCAGAGTAATTCTCAAAGTCAAAGTCAAACTCTTGTTAATCCTAGAAAGTCTCAAAGCTTTGCTAATTTTCATAGTAGTAATGTTAAACGGGCTGAAATTAAATTAGCAGCATTTTTTGCAGAGCATAATGTTTCTCTTCTTACCGCAAATCATTTAGTTCCTTTGCTAAAAGATATTTGTATTGATTCTGCAATCATGCAAGATCTTTCANTAGCTCGAAATAAGTGCACCAATATTATTAAAGAAGTAATCGCGAAACGTGAAATAGAAAAAATGATTGATATTTTACAANAACAAAAATTTTCTATTTTAATTGATGAAAGCACGGATATTGCAGAGACTAAAATTTTATGTGTTCTTGTACAATTCATTTCATTCTTTCATAAAAAAGTAAAACCTCAATTATTAGAATTATTGCCATTAGATGCTACAGATTGCTCTGCAAATAATATTTTTGAATTATTTAAGAAACTTTTAGAAAAATATAAANTTCTTATTCAAAATATAGTCGGAATGACAAGCTACAATGCGTCCGTTCTGATTGGATGCAATAATTCTTTTTTTTCTCGTTACAGTTTGAAATTCCGGGAGTAGTTATGTTAAATTGCATTTGCCATTCTTCCGCGATAATAGCCAGTAAAGCTTGCGAGTATTCCATGGTAGTTATTTAAGTACAAATTAACCTCGTTTCTTTCAGCAAATCATTTGTACCTGCATTTGTGCAATATTTAGTTTTATTTATTTTAATCTTTATTTATAATACTTATTAGTTTATTCATTATAATAAGAAAATTTATTTTTTATTGTAAAATACAAATTAGATACTAAAATTACAGTATAATTTTATATATTATAAAATATAAATGTATTTAATGTTAAAATTTATTTTTTTACTTTTGAAAAGATATAAAAAAATGTTTTTTTTAACAATTATTAGAATTTCTGCGATTTTATTGTGATTATTCTACTGTGATCATGTAAAATACTTTTATTTTATGAATACCGGTAAGGTTTTGGCAGTTTTCCTTGCCCTTGCAACAAATGTTGGTATTCTTTGTGATTCTGCCAAATAAAGTATTTTATTTTTAATATTAATATATAATTAAAACTTATTTAAATATCCTGTCTTTCTCTAGCTTATTTTTTATATTATTATCACTTATTATAATATTTTANTATGGTGAAAAAAATACTTAAAGTTATAAATATATTTGGTTTACAAAAGTAATTTACATATGCTTTACTTTTTATTATTGTATTATTTTTTAGTGCTTTGTTTTACTTTTTATCACTTTTTAATAATTAAAACACTGTTTCAATAATTTTTAAATAAGAAATGTAAAACTTTTCAAATATACTCATCAAATATAACTTTAGTTGATGTAGCCCGTCACACTTTTTGCCAGCACCTAACACTACGTACTACATATCTAACATACACCATTGGCGGCGGCCGGTGGCCGCTGGAACTATCATAGACGTATAATATATAGACTGCGCGGTTGGCTGAAAAGATGTCTTCAACGTTGAGAGAGACAACATACTTAGAATAGTAACTCTCTCTCTGTCTATCAATGTCTGTGGTGGGATATAATGGAAGTAGTAGTGGGGCTAAAATTCAATATGGCCACGGGTTTGGCTGTTGTGATCTTGACAAAGTTAATTATTGTGGTTAGAATCAGAATCTTTTACAAGAAAATTGACAAAATGATAAATTGTTGTTGTGTATGTGGAATGGAGCAATCGCTGAAAAACTCGCATATTATTTTTTATAGATGTGTAATTATTATAAGCAAATTAGTGTCATTTTATTAGTGTTATATTTCTTTCATGCATGGTTATATTTTTAGGTTGCCAAAGAATCTAGATGTACAAAACCAGTGGTTAAAAGTGTTGAAGAAAAATGATGTTAGAACTCTTGTTGTATGTACTCAACACTTCAAACCTGAAGATTATAGAGAATTCTGTGATAAGCCACTTTTGAAAAAAAATGCTATTCTGCGAGTAAATGTTTATGAATTAAATACATACGTACAATCCAATGAAAATATTCCAATGTAAAGTATTCAAATTCAGTATTATAAAATATAAATCAATTTTTCTTCTATTGGTTTAAAACTTTTGATTATTTTTGTATTTAGAAATTTCCAAGACTCTACAGCCAAAATGGATTGTGACAAAGAGAAAAAAACAGAANAAAATATGAATATTGATAGTTCTTTAGAAACACACACAACGAATGAAACCACGAAATGTTCAAAGAGGTAATATATTTATTCGTTTTTATGATCTCCTTTACTAACTCAAGTATAATATAACTAAATATTATGCTAATATTTGTTTTTAGGAAAAATGATTCCGAATGTGATGCATATAGTGCTTCAACAAAAAAATTTCGTTATCTGAAGAAATTCGGTAGTTTTATAAAACAAGATTTTAAAAACGATATTTTATGGAATCGATTTGTGTTAGTATTGAAGAAAATAAGAAAAGAAAGACTATTGTTACAACGCAAGAATAAACGCTTGCTGACAAAAGTCCAAACGTTCAAAGATTTAATTCAAGAGTTAAGAAAAAAGAACTTGGTGACGGATTCTAGTATGGATATATTAAATGTAATAAGTTTATTAAGGCTAAGGGTATAATTGTACTTTTGATTTAAATTTGACAAATGAAATTTCTGACAATCATGTATAATTGATTTTTTCAATATCTGTTAATTAAATGTGTATTATAAATTTGTTTTCTGTAGAAAACATGTCCAATAATTCAACAATTAATAAACAGACATTTACACAAAAAACAAGGACCATTTCCTGATGAATTAAAACATTTTGCATGCACTTTACATTTTTATTTGCCGGCAGCATACGAATATGTAAGAAAGACTTTTATGAATATTTTGCCTCATCAAACCACAATCAGAAAATGGTTAGGTTCAGCCAGTAATGAGCCGGGAATTCCGATTACTGCGCTAAAGTATGTGTCAGAATTATGCCGAGAAGCTGAAGCTGTAGGAAAGAAATTGTATTTTTCGCTAACATGTGATGAGATGGCAATTAGATAGCATGTGGAATACGCGATGGAAAGCAATAGCATGGATTTGTTGATGTCGGAAATAAAATTAATGACTGTGATACCGATTTGTTGTTGACTGCAGCAACAAATGTTTTTGTTTTTATGTTAGTAGGTATTAATAGATATTTTAACATTGTTATTGCTTACTATTTTATCAAAACGTTAACAGGAAAAGAAAAGAGTAATATATTAAATGATATATTGCATGTTGCACATGCTCATGGTATTTCAATCTGCAACATAACTTTTGATGGTGCTTCTGCAAATATTTCTATGGTTGAAGAGCTAGGCGCTAAGATCACAACTTCTCTTGATAAACTAAAAACTTACTTTCAACATCCTGTAACTCAAGAGCCCATAACTGTAATGTTGGATGCTTGCCATATGTTAAAATTAATAAGAAATACATTGGCTGCAAAAGGATGGTTCACAGATAGTAATGGAAATATTATTAATTGGAATTATTCAACTTTGCTTGTAAAAAAACAAGAACAAGAAGGACTTCATCTAGCAACTAAAATTAGACACAGACATGTTGATTTCAAAAATGAAAAGATGAAGGTACGATTAGCTGCTCAAACCTTGGGCGTGTTCCGTTTGACCACAGTACGATTCGACACCGATCGATTCGACACCAAATTATTGGACACAAAATTATTGGACACAGATTTATTC